TGGATAGATAGATAGATAGATAGATAGATAGATAGAAAGATAGATAGATAGATAGATAGGTGGTGGGACAGAGGAACGGATGGACAGATGGACAAATGGGTGGGTGGGTTGGCAGACGGGCGGGCAGATAGATGGATAGATAGATAGATAGACAGATAGAGAGAGAGATGGATGGATGGATAGATAGAGAGATGGATAGTTGTGTCCTTGTTTCAATAGATGAACTGCATCACCTTCTGCTAATCTGCTACAAACACACACACACACACACACACACACACACACTGATATGACTAGCATCACTCGCCCTTTAAGAAAGCACATTGTGTTCACGAGAGAGAGTCAGAGCTGGAATTAGAGGCAACCAAATTACAGTCTGCGTGCGTGTTTGCACTTACACCCAACGTGCAGCTCGATATCAGCAGCATAACATCTGTATCCACCGTTCAGGAAGGTGCAAATATCGATGAGAGGAAACTTGACTGATGCCGGAGGAGGAGGGGGGCGTAGAACAGAATCTAAGGTTAGATGCAGATGGAGCTGATCAGACATCCTCATCCTCAGGTGTTTATACAGTTTGCATTTATGTCACTTCAGTCGATGCAATTGGAAAAAGCTCAAACTTTGTTTTGGTTGTTGGTGAAAAACTTCTTAAGAGGAATTCAGACTTCATCATGACCATTAACTTCTCTCCAAATGTCGTTTGAGGCTCGATTGTTTACGGCTCGATTGTCTCACGCTTCTTTAATTAAACAGTATCAAGTATTAAAAGCAATTAAGATCTGATCGAATTTCGCTCCCAGGTTTTATTCCCGGTGTTCAAAGTGGAGCTCGTGTGAAAACGTCACAGACTATTAGCCGAAATAATACAAAATCAGTGCCGAGCCCTGTGGAGGGGCTGCGGGCCGGAATCAAAGAAGCATCTGTGACGGGTGGAGCCTAAATCAGATAACCCAATGACCCCCCCCATTCCCTCCCTCTCTCTCTCTCGCCCCTGCCAGGTTCCTGCATAAGATGATCACTGAGGTTTAATAGCATGAAGCCATAGCTAGATCAGATACCGTGTTGGCAGCAGCTCCCTCTGTGTCTCTCTGGCGTTATCAAGGAGCGTGTTTGGAGCGGTGATGACAGCACTGGCACAAACAGGGAGTGCTGGAAGCTGGCCTCAGACCAGCGGTGTTGAGTGTGTGCATGTGTGTGTGTGTGTGTGTGTGTGTTGTCTGGCTGTGGTGGGCGGTGTGTGTGTGTGGCGCCTGTCTGGCTTTTGGCTGCAGCTCAAGGTTGAAGCCTGTTGGAATCAGGGAAATGTAAGTGCAAAATGTGGACATCTACGTCTCCATTTTTGGAGTAACGAAAATATGACTGCAATTTGCATCTTTTATGACATTAATGGAATGAATGATTCCACTGCTGTTTGCTTTTCGAGCCCAAATCCCATGTTTTATTATCTCAAATTTGGCTTTTCAGCTGTACTCTGGTGTTCTGGGGCGTTGCAGTTCCTTTAGGGTTTTGCCAACAACAAGGACCTGGAGGCAAATGAAGGACGGAGAAGCTGAATGTTGAGAAGAGTGTGGATCGACAATGTGGGATTAAATTTCCACACGGGTTAGGATAGATAACAGCTCTATATGACTGACGGTTGGAGAACTCCAGCCTTTTTACGCTGTGGAACTTATTTAGACTTACAGAAGCTTCAGTGTCATTTGCAGTTAAGGTCTGACTT